TAAAAATGATCCCTGTAGAACTACTCTTTCTAAAATTTAAGAAATCATTGAACTTGCTAAGAATTTGGTTGAATGGAAAATGGATAGTTTTATCTTTTGGTGTATAGATTGGTGAAGTTGGCATTAATCTTGACCGTTGCAATGACAAATGTCGAAAGAGCATTTTCGACAATGAAAGTTATTGAGAATGACTTATTCAAATAGAACAGAGATGAGTATATATGAATGATTGTTTGGCACCTTATATTGAATAACATATATTTTGTAATATTAATAAAGAAGATGTCCGGAAAAAGTTTCAAGAAATGACACAAGAAGAATATTGTTCTAAACATTATATTCTAATTTGAAGTTCGATGTTGAAATGATCTGTGCTGATATAACTTTTACATAGTAGATAATCAGTGGAGGCCGCCCCCCCACCCCCCCCCCCCTCCTACTCTCTCTCTATAATATCGTGTTTAGCAATTAAATTTTTTTGCCCTCCGTCACCCGAATAGGGTCAGCCTGGAAAGCATTTGGTTCAAGCTTCACAATGTACAACACAGGCACAAAAAGTTGATGCCTTCATTGGTCATGTGAAGTGGAAAACAACCACAAAGAAAACAATGGCAATCTTCTTCCATATAAAAAAAATATACAACATACAAATCTAGAGTACAATGTTTACCCATTATGCTATAAATCAAAGTGTATTGAATCATATCACAAGCTAGAAACATGATCAGAGCCAACGCCAGAGCTCTCAAGGTAAAAAGCAAAAGATTCAACCAATCTACCAGCATCTTGAACCCTAAGCCTAGTCCCTTGCTGACCAACAACTACAGCTGCGACCCGAGAAGCCAATAAACCCATGCTCTTCAAATCTGAATGCCCTCTAAGAATGCCGTATAAAATACCAGAGGCATAGGCATCACCGGCTCCGCAAGTATCTACGGGTACACAAGGAGAAGGAGGTACATAAATTGCTTCACCCTTGACACCAATGTATGAGCCTCGAACACCGTCAGTGACTGAAACTAGAGGCACGAAATGGCTCAGGTATCTTGCAGCTGATATAGGGCTATCCGTAGACGATAGGTTGCAGAAAGCTCGGGCTTCATTGCTGTTGGCAAAGAGTATGTCCGCGTAGTTGCCTATTACTTCCCTGTAAATAATATTTTGAAAATTTAAGATCCATGATGGGGTTAAATTAAGTGTGTACAGTCGATATCTAAATGCGTCTTGATTCAGATCACAGAATTTCTACGTTTTCCGATCTCTTATGGAACAAGTTTTGTAACCAACTAGGGAAGTTTCAGTTTTAGAGTCTTTCAGAATATAGGTAAATGCAAGATTTTTTCCTTTATTTTTTGTATGATAAAGAAAATGATAAGAGAGCTCGTCTGAAGAGTAGCCATGATGTCGATGATGATAGTCCTGATCGGTGGACAGAATCATAAAAACCTGTTATCTAAGTTCAAAAGAGAACCAAGCTAAGTTATCGATCTATCCTAATCAAAATAGTACCCACTTTGAAGTAGAACATTTGGAACCAAAACTAATAGGAAACGTAACTTTGCGAAACTTGCATAACTATAGATTATTCAGATAAAAGGTACAAAAGATGGGCATCATACCAGAAATTATCGTAAAATCTTTCTACGCATGATACATCTGATGCAGTAACTGCAACAAGTGCACCATGTCTGCGGGCATCCTCACAAGCTTGGATTAATGTTTTAATTGTATAAGGAAGTTCAAATAGGTATCCTTCTACGACAAGTATGTTTGTTTTTGAGACTGCACCTGCCAAACATGGATCATAATCAACAGTTGATGAAGTGCCCTGAAAGAAAAGCAAGAGAGAAAGTAATTTATCACTGATTCGTTAAATAAACTAAGCAATGCATTAGAAATCAATCTCGTTGGGCAAAAACATAATGCATAGGAGGCTGACCTGGTAAGCTAGCATTGTTCGCTGTGCATCTGGGGTAGTAAGAACTATAACTGTCCCAGTTGTCCCATCCTTTACAGGTCTAGAGAGAAAATCAACATTTGCCCGCTGTAGTTTTGCCCTGCATTGAAAATTACACGGAGAAAAAGTTTAACAGCACACTATCAAAATTCTAAGGTGAATGGCTTGTGATGATTATAGAGTGAAACAACAAACCACAACTAACTCGACGGATTTTTACTTCATAGCTTTAAATAATCAAAACATGCAAAATACATGGCAATTTATACAAAACATGCAAAATACATGGCAATTTATACTATTTTGGGGTTTTGTCATAATAGA